CTCACGGAATCAGTGAAGCGGAAAATGGAAAGTAGAGAAAGTGAAAGTATTTCAACGACCTATAAAATAGTCATCTCTCGGAGGAATCAGTCCAGTCATCACCCGAAGACGATTGTAGATACCAACAATCGAAACGTCGTGAACTAACGTGACTTGGAATCTCTACACTTTATTTTTATTATTTTCTTTTTTGCATTCCTTTAATTTTTATTTATTCAATTATTATATTTTTACTTGTATTTTATTTCACTATTATTTCATTTCAGGTTCATTGTTGCTTAATATAATTGTTATTTTCAACTATTCTTTTTTAATTATTCTTTTTTACTTGTTTCAGGGATTTCAAATCATTTTATATAGTAGACAATGGAAGTCCGAACTAGTGAAATTCATCACGAAATATTGTCAATCACCTTCAAACAAATCTACTGCATCTTCATACTAGAAACAGTATGTCTGATTCAAATGAGAAAAATACTTTTGCTTCCGAAATAATATATAATACCCAGCAAAATGCCAATATACCTCTGCCAACGCCAACTTCAACATTAACAAAAAATTCCATAGTATTTGAAAGTCGGAAGATATTCAATCATCTAACATTTGGAATGAAAAGTATAATAGAGTCAAAAACATTCCGAAAACTTGTGAAGGAACTTCTACTCACGAAAGCATATTATAGCTTGGAAGAATATCTTAAAGACAGAGTTTGAGTACTTGAGCCCTTGAGGTCGAACCGACTGATTTATTCATTTAATCTACACATGTAAATCAATTCTTAACTGCTTTGTGCAATCTTATATCCTATGTTACTATGAATTGACTGTTTATTTTAAATTTATTCAAGCTTTGGTAATAGGAATTTTTTTTATTGCATCTCAATCCTTTATGGTTGTAGATAATGTTCTAGTTTTGTTGTCTAGAAATTGATGTAATTTCATCAAATCCTATTTATAGGTATACTGATTATTGTTATCATACCTACTAGAACGACTACTTGTAATGAATATACGAAAGAATAAACGAAGGTCCGTTTGGATGAAGACCTTTGTCTCATTTTTTACTCCAAAGGAGGCGCTTAAAATTATTTTATGTATCAGTTTCAATTATTCTGTAACCGTTTGTCGCAACATTTGACTCATTTGGTCCACTAAACCTTATATTTGTATAGTGCTCTTTGGAACAATCCATTATAGTCCCATAATGTGACAGAAATTTTGTCGCAGTCCTCAAAAAAATTCCAAACGTATCTATTCTATCTAAACGAATCAGGTGGACATCTTTCAATCTCAACCTCAACTGTTATATCTCATTCCCCACCGTTTGGTGACTCTCAATCTTGAAATATGAATAGGGAAAGTGCTAAAAATCCCTCATTAGTGGGAAGATAAGTTTTATAAAGAATTCATTGAACTGTTTCCACCAACTGCTGTACATGTACACGAAATTTGAATAGTCACCTTTTTTTTGAACCTCGTATAGTAACACTAATACTGTGACAATTTCATATTAAACTGTTTTGGGTACTTCTGTATCAGCTATCAGTATCAGCTAATTCCATTCAGCTTCATCAACTGCCATAATAGAATAGGAATATTATTGACTGTGGAAGAATCAATCATGAGGAAATCTATATAGAAGTATCATGCCAAAACCAAAATTTTTGTTACAAAACTCAAGTTGATACTGAAGTAGACAATTTTGCTTATTCTAGGAGTCCACATACTAGACTGATTTGCCAAATGTTCCAAGACAATTTTATATTTGTTTAGTTTTCTAACTGTACATTGTTTTGAATTTTGCTTCGAACATTCAGCAGTAACCATCTTTATCACTAATGATAATTCATTAACAAATCCACGGTTGTTTTCAGGGCGACAATTGAAAATCCTCGAGGACAACCAAAAGTTTATGAAGAGCCTCAACAGTCAAACCCAAACGAAAGACAACCTTCTCCTATTCTACTGACAGCTATGAATTCGCAAAAAGTCTACAAACAGCAAACAGTACACGAACAACGTTTGAGACCGATTGACGATATTGTGTCAAGAAACAGTTTCTATGATACAAGGAGGAATGATTTACAGCAGAATTGGTTATTTGGAGAAGATTCGAATTATGCTGTAGAACCTAAGAAGTTTTATATTCGTCGGAAGTGAAAGGAAAGAGGGAAGACGAGAACTGAATGACTATTTATTTATTTATTTGTGTATTTATCATTTATTAATATTAGAAGATTGATTGAGATGAAATTAATAATTTCCCAAGAATTTAAACAACCGGAAGTTGTGGATTACTTTGAATCATTAAATACATTATTTGACAATACTTTTGTTATTTGAATTGAAGGGGTTATATTTTTTAGGAGTGATTAATTTTTGGGAAAGAAAGTTTTTGTCTTTTTACTACTCCATCTTGATATAAAAAAGGAGGATGAGGGAGTCTTCCAAAGAAAGGAAGGAAGTAACTCTATACATGTATGTGTAGATCATGCAAAGAAGTAACTTTCAGACACAAACTGAAAGAAAGTCCTTCTGAAACAGCTACATTCATGTAAACATTGAATTATACGAAAGAAACAATTCTTTCGAAACAAATACTTCTATATGAACACTGAATTATACAGAAGATACTTTTCTCTACTCAGTTTGTATTTCAATTATTCGTTGTGGAATAAAAATCAGATATCATTCACATGAGTTCTACTTTTAATGAATGGTAACAAATTGCACTTACATAGAACACTGCCATCCTCACTGGTATACACCGATGTAGCTGTTTCAGGAGGACTTTCTTTCAGTTTGTGTCTGAAAGTTACTTCTTTGCATGATCTACACATCCATGTATAGAGTTACTTCCTTCCTTTCTTTGGAAGACTCTCTCATCCTTCTTTTTTTGTTTCAAGATGGAGTAGTAGAAAGCCAAAAACTTTCTTTCCCAAAAACTTTTGTTATTTTTTTGAGTCAAAGTCATTTTTTTCCAGTGGTATAACATCCACACATTCAACGAATATTAGTACATTTTGAATCGATGGAATATTTTTTTCCGAAAACGGAAAATTGAAATTTCTTTTTCAAAACGGAGAAGGGTAATAATTGAGCTTTTGAAAAATATGGTTTCAATCGACATAGGTTTCGGATTTGTTTATTCTTTCAAAATGATGCCCATTGGAGGGCTCCACATTGTCCGAAGATATTTTGGTATCATAATGTTTTCTAATGTTCACATTGCTATCATAGTAAAATGTTGATCACTTTAATGAAATGAATAAAAACTCTTTTGTCTAATTACCACTGGTAGATTTTGTTTATACGACCGGTTTCGGGTTTGACCCCATTATCAAGTATAAAACTGAAATCTGAAAGCTCGGTTACATAGAATTTTCAGGTATGCTGCAAGGACAGGTATTTGAAAAACAGGTAGTTAGGCAAACCAGGATGCCAACTTTAAAATTCCACACTGAAAATTCTAGGGGTTGTTAAACTTATAAATTCAAGAGAGGAGATTTACATAAATCGAGTTGCTCGTTTAGGGGTATATATTTCAGGTTTTTAATTGATTTTTTAATTGTCATCGCCTCCAACAAATTCATTTTTTCCCTTTATTACATATATGTAGGATTTTGAGGTTATCTTCATTTATCTTGTAGTTTGATTTTTGAAGATGTTCGTTCATTGCAGATTTTTTGTCCAAACAGACGTGTTCACGCAGTCTTATTTCAAAATTTCTACCGGTTTGGCCTGTGTATACTGCATAGCATCCGCCACACTCTATTCTATATATACCTGATTTTTTCATTCTATCCCGTTTGGGTTTTGCATTAAACAGGGTTCTTCCTAAATTATTATAACTTGTGAAAGCTGTTGATATTTTGTATTTAGAGTATTATTCTTTAATATTTTCTGAAAGTTTACCTGAGTAATTGATGCTACTGTACTTGACTATATTTTGTTTTCGGCAGTTTGACTATAATTTACTCATAAGTGTTTTGTGAGTTTTACCTGATATTATAACAGAGAAGTTGGTACCTGATTGTTTACTGCAATTTGTTTAATCGTTTTTAGTTCATCTTGGAAGTTCTTTACCGGTAAAGGGATTGCGAAAGCTCTGTGTATCATCGACCTAAACGCGAATAACTTAGAGTCAAAGGGATTTATAGAGTTGTGAACGTGTTTTTCCAGTAGATATTGAATTTCAAACCATTCTTAACTCTTGAAATATTCACATCTAAGAAGTTAAGCTCCTTGTTTTGTTCGATTTCTACTGTGAACTTAATTTCGTTATGCAGACTATTGAGAAAATTTAAAAATTGATTAATTTGTCTGTTTGAACCATCAAAACCAACCAGTATGTCATCAACATATCTGAACCAAAACACAATATGTTTCTAAAGGGGGTTATTAAGACGCGGGTATTTTCTAGCGTGTCCATGACAATGTCCGCCAGAATGGGACTGATTGGTGAGCCCATAGGGAGACCTGAGTTTTACAGGTAAAAATTATTATTACATTTGAAGATTTTTTTTTGTTTCAAACATATATCAAGGAGATTGCAAAAGTGATCATGAATTACCATATAATAAACAAGTCATCAATCACACATATTAAAATGTTGATATCTTTGAAATTTCAATCCGACTTTTTCATATAATTGTATCCAATATCAAACGTTAAGTGCGAAAATTGATTAGGATTCACTACATGAGAATCCTCCACAACTGAAATACGATCTGTGGTTATAAATATCAACATTAAAAACCATCAATTAACACATCATTCCGAAATTGTTAACGATCCTTTTTTGTCTCAAAAACTGTATTTTTATTGTCATGATCAGCGTTATGAGTTTATTTTAATGTTTAGCATTCATTAATAGGTAATAATGTGATTTCTTCTCTCATTTTTGGACGAACAGTTGACATAAGATGTAATATCCAATAAAATACATCTGAACATCCTGAAAGAGGGAAGAAGTCTCCGGATTTCTAGTCAATCAATATCGGGCTTGCTTTCGAAATGATCATATTTCGGGAGCAATTCTTATTGAAAAATCTTTGACTAGCATGTCATTTTTATTCTGAAGTAGGTGTTCCTCAGGGTTCGGCCCTAGGACCTACCTTATTTATACTTAATATAAACGATATTGTGAAGATATGTGATAGCTCAGTCATTCTTTACGCTGATGATACATCAGTTATTGTATCAGATAGGGATGAATATTGTATACGTCAGAAATGTAAAAAAAATCCTTTGATATGGCTCAGTGGTTCAGAGCCAACTCATTTCATCTAAATACAAATAAAACAAAATGTATACGCTTTCACAATAGACAAAAAGAAGCTAGTGTAGTTGATTTCGGAGACTTACAGTAAGTTGATAAGACCGTCCGATTTCTTGGATTATATATAGACGAACATATTTCCTGGGGAGAACACTGTAAAATCTTAATCAATAAATTGAATTATATTTCCTATCAATTACGTAATTTGAGATCAGTTCTGTTTAATGATCAGTTGCTGATGCAACGGGGAAGAAAACGGGGGCGCACATGTATTTTGCATGATACTCCAGAAAAATTAGAAATTGAAGAGGCAGCTCGCAAAAAAGAAGACACTCTTAAGATAAAGGAGAAAAAGAAAAAAAAAATTTGAAAAAGTTCGAAATAAGTTATTGGAAGAAGAGACTGGTCTTCTGGGGGAAGACAAAGGTCTGAAGCAGAGGAATGTATGGAGTGTTAAGAAACCCAATAAAAATAGAGAAGTCCTTAAGTCAACTGATGAAGAAGATGAATTTCCTTCCCTTGATGACACCAGCGGCTGCTCTGACTACGTTTCAGACGATGAAATAGATGGTAGCGCGATAGAGCCTAACGATTACGTGTTAGTCAAATTCGCCACGAAAAAAGTTGTTAAGTTTTACACTGGCTTGGTGGAAGATGTTCAAGGTGACACTGTTAAAATAAAATCTTTGAGGCGAAAAAGCCGGGAAAGCAACTGCCCAAACCCCATGTTAATCCCCCAGAAGGGATTCCTCGCATTATTAAATTTTACTACAAATTCGATAGCAATGTGTATTAAGCTGCTAATAATAATTTTTACCTTGGAGTGGAGTCAAACAAACACTAAATTCTAATACTTTTCGACGAAAAATAGTTTCATTTTATATTTGTACCTATAGGTACTTTTAATTTTACTCAATATGTTCATTAGACTTATGTTCGATACCTTTTCATTGAAGAGATCAGTTGGAACTTAATGTTTCGTTTCAATTCAGCACTACTACTTCCTTCTAAATGCATAAAATCCCTGGGATCAAGTATCCCACCCCATAGGGTGGGATACTTGATTTCCTGTAGTATTCCTAGTAAACCCAACTTGTTACATTCGTCCTGAAAAATATTGACTATTCATTGGTGCCAAATGGAAGTTATTGAATCAAGACATGAAGTGAGTCAAACCGAATCTCAAATGTACTAAAATAGCTCTAGATATACAGAAAAATCAAAAGTGGGGATCAAGTATCACTACTCTCCCCTACCGGTGACGAAATAAGAAATTTTGGGGCAGGTGACGAATTGACGAAACAAGAACAAATCTTCTGGAAATGACCTCTGACTTTATGCCCCCAACTGTCAACTACGAATTGCCTTATAAAGTACTGTTCCCGAGTAGAAAGGATTTGATCCTCCGGGAGAAGGAAATATTAAGAGCAGATAGTTGTTGGTTCACAGATGGATCAAAAACATCTTTCCGGTTCTGGTGCAGGTGTTTTCAGTTTCAGACGCAGGAAAGAGATATCAACCCGCCTAGGAACCTATGCGACTGTATTTCAAGCGGAAATTTTTCTATTGAATTGTGTGCGGAAATATTGGAAGAATCCAACCTCTCACACAAGTCAATAAGAATATTCTCGCCTGGCCTGGCCTGGAAGGCAATGTCTGGGACTCTTGGAAGACAGTCCCTGCACCGCTGGGGACCAAATCAGGTTTTTAGAGTTCGGCCATACTCTTACCATCTAACCTGAAAGACCACTCACCATACACACTTATCGGCTTCGTTAAGAAGCTGGGTTTGTTTGGTCGAGTGTGAATTTTTACGCATCCCATTAGTGAATATGACATAATTGATTTGATAAAAACAGTAAAAAAACTCGTGTGTAAGTGGTTATGATGAGATTTCAAACAAGCTCCTGAAAAAATGTGCTCATGAGTTATCATATCCGCTGCATCACATCATTAACCTATCACTAGAATATGGAATGTTTCCTGACAAACTGAAAATTGCTAATGTTGTACCAATTTATAAAAAGGGTGATAAAAATTTGTATGAAAACTATAGGGGCATCAGTTTGCTTTCCAGTGTATCAAAAGGGTTTGAGTTGAATATCAAAAATTAATTAATTTCCTTCCTTTCTATGAATAACATTCCCTCATCAAACCAACATGGATTCACAAGGAATAAGAGTACAGAAACAGCTCTATGTGATTTCAGTGAACACATTATAAATGCTCTTAATTGCAAATTACATATTTGTGGTTTATTTATAGATTTTTCAAGAGCTTTCAACACCGTGAACCACGAACTACTGCTACAGAAATTGGAACGATATGGCGTGAGAGGGACTGCTCACAAATTAATCAAATCATATCTGCAAGGCAGAATTCAACGAGTTATTGTTGACGTCACTATGAGTGAACCACGGAGAATAGAGCAAGGTGTTCCTCAAGGATCTATACTCGAACCATTTTTCTTCATAATTTTTGCGAATGACTTGTTTCACTATTTTCAACAACTTTCATCAGTACACGTGGTAACATATGCGGATAATACAAATTTCCTTTTAGCAGAGAAAGACTCGGCAACTCTATCAGATATTACTGGAAAGGTATACCAGCAAATTATAACATGGGATTTTAAACAGACAGATCAGTTTACTTTCCAGTGTATCAAAAGGATTTGAGTTGAATATCAAAAATCAATTAATTTCCTTCCTTTCTATGAATGACATTCTCTCATCAAACCAACATGGATTCACAAGGAATAAGAGTACAGAAACAGCTCTATGTGATTTCATGCTCTTGATTGCAAATTACATATTTGTGGTTTATTCATAGATTTTTCAAGAGCTTTCAACACCGTGAACCATGAACTACTGCTACAGAAATTGGAACGATATGGCGTGAGAGGGACTGCTCACAAGTTAATCAAATCATATCTGCAAGGCAGAATTTAATGAGTTATTGTTGACGTCACTGTGAGTGAACCACGGAAAATAGAGCAAGGTGTCCCTCAAGGATCGATACTCGGACCACTTTTCTTCATCATTTTTGCGAATGACTTGTTTCACTATTTTCAACAACTTCCATCAGTACACGTGGTAACATATGCGGATGATACAAATTTCCTTTTAGCAGAGAAAGACTCGGTAACTCTATCAGATATTACTGGAAAGGTATACCAGTAAATTATAACATGGGCAAGTAAAAATCACCTGAAACTCAACATAACTAAAACTGTACTGATGAAATTTACTATGGTTACAAATGAGTCCGAGTTTTTCAGTATATATGTGGATGATGATTTTCATGTAGAATCCTCTGAAGAAACTAAATTATTAGGCATAACAGTTCAATACAGACTCACCTGGACACCACATATCGACTCACTTTGTGAAAAACTACGTGAAAATTGTTATGCGTTAAGATTCTAATCTAACTACTGTAATGCTACAATCTTTCATTCATTCATTGTCATTTACAATACGAGATTCTGAATAGGGGTACGGGATCGTCCGTGGAAAGGATTTTCATATTACAAAACTCGGCAATTCGAATAATTGCTAAACTTGGACGGAGAGAATCATGCAGGAGCTCTTTCAAAAACCTGAAACTTCATACGGTTGTTGGAATATATGTTTATGAATTATATATTTTTGTTTATAATAACAAATCAAGTTTTTTATCGAACAAGCAAACTCATGATTATCCAACTCGCTCTGGAAATTTGCTAGTACCTCGATCACATCGAACAGCCCTCTACCAGAACAGCCATCTTTATCTCGGACCGAAAATTTTCAACAAATTAGACGAAAATGTAAAGGCAGCCCCTAATATGAATATTTTTAAATCAAGATTGAAAACTTTTTTGATTGAAAAAAATTGCTACTTCTTGGAGGAATTTTATCGATGATTTTATCTCTCTCCATGTTATTTGTGTTTCTTGTTCATTTGGCAAATCATTTGTAAATACCTATAGTTTTTTTTCTATATATACGCTGACGTTTTCCTCGTTATCGTATATTGGAAGATATGTTTTTTCATCTTTTTTTCCATTGTACCTTTCAACAAGTGAAATATTTGATAATGAATTGAAAAAAATAGGTGTGAGCCACAATAAACCCTTGCGGATTGCGATGGAGGGTCGAATAGACCCACTCACTTTGGACCTAACCTAACCTACCCTTCATTATTTAAAAATTTGTTGTTTAGCACACATAGAATCATTTGCCTTTTGAAATACAAGCTGAAAACTTGCCCTTGTACATCACTGAATCAGAATGGATATTCGTCATGAGAAAGATTTTTTTGGTATTATATCAGGTTGGTGTTGGTATTATATCAGGAAATATAACTAGTGATGATCACAGTTTGATTATTATGAGAATAATTTCTCCTCTTTTCCGTAAAAGTAGGTTTCATCAGTGTTGCAAGGGTCATTTGACTTCAATTGATATTGAGAGAATTGCTTCTGTCAAAGTGTGACGCTTTTCTATTTTCAGTGACTGATTAAATTGTCAAGAGCCAAAATGGAAAGCCCCGGGAAAATGGCCACTTGCGTTGGTTGTCAAGATAAATTCGATAGGAGATGTATGTCGGAAGGGAGAGATAATATTTTATACTGCTCTGATTGCTTCAAAAGACTATGTGCAGGTGAGCTGATTGTAAATCAGATAAGGATGCGGTGGCGATAGACGGAAGTTGAATTGACTTTACTGATGATCCCTACAATTTCAGGCTCTGGTGACTCGAAAGCTAAACAGTCCCATGATTTACGCGATAAAATGTTTCCTTATCCAGAAGTCTTCTCCCATCGAATTCGACAAATTTCACCCGTCAAAAGCGGTAGTCCCAGTGTGGTTTCTCTTTCGAAGAGGTGAGTTTCTTTTTTTTAGTTCAATTCCCTAATAATGCAGGGAAAAGCAAAGCAAAGTTCTAACTCAACCTTCAATTGGATTACAATAAACAATACTGAAGTCACTAGAAAGTATTATTGCATTTATGTACAAAATTGGAATATATCAGACCAATTTAGAATAGAAAAAACATATTCCTACAGTGTAGGTTACTGTTATTGATTTTCGGAAAATTTTTATTGGCCAGAACAAAGTACCTTTCTAAGAAAATTCTCATTTCTTCCAGACCACTCCAATGTCCCAAAGCAGACTGCAACAAATTCGTCTCGTTATTTACACTGGAGTCCCACTTCAAATACGAACACAAGGAAGTTCCTATAATTCTGACACAGCTGGATGCTAGAAGTGCATTAGAATTTTATCCTCGAGATGTCAGATACGGCGTAACGCAGTGCATTGTTCTATTGAACGTTATCAATCACGATTTTTCCAACATTATTCCGCGAACTAGGTGAGTAAAAGTCTGGCGAGAGATGATGAAATACTGTTACTAGTGTGTAATTTGCATTCATTAGACATTGTTTTCGCAAAAATTTAAAACAAGCGGTATCCTTCCGACATTATATAAACCATTTAACAACGATGAATGCTGAAATATCACATACCCATTGTGGTCGAAAAGTCAGACATATTCAGGGTTTATAAAACAGCAACCTGTGATGCTTCATGAAGCTAAGATTGGACCTTCTTTGGGGTATTGTTCTCGTGTCTCTAAGCACAGCCTGAAGCTGCTGGATTTCATCCAGAAAGGAGCTATCCGCCTGATTGGAGACGCGAACATCAGTTGCATCCTTGATAGTCTGGAAAGGCTGGGGATTTGCCTCTCTTCTGTAGATACTTTCACGGGAAGTGTTCAAGTGCTTAAGTGAGGTACTTCGCGTATTTTTAACAAAAAGAATACTTCCACCGTTTAGATCTTACTCTATTTTAAAAGTTATCAGGTGACTTGATGTGTAGACCCGAAAAATTATACAATTCTATAGGAGAATGCTTATACATTCTCCTATAACAGTGAGGCCCGAGAATTTTGAGATTGGAGTGTTTACATGTTATATTACAGCTATGTAAAGCCTGTGAAGTCATCACAGGTTCCGAACCTCTCCTCTGCATGGTTCATGACCATAAAAAAGTAGGAGTCGGAGCATTTCATTTTACGGTAGCTACCCCAGTAGACAATGAACATGGCTTGGCTTTCGACACTGAACGGCGTGACCAGAACTCTGTCACCGAGATATAAATGAGTCAAGATAAAATATACAGAGATTAAATCACTTCGTGAAGAATCATTAAAAACTCTGACTTATCCAAGAATATTACCTTTGCCTTCCTCTGGTCTTACTTGGTCTACCGTATCGATACCAGATATATCAGGCATCGAAGAACCATTTATGCGTTTGCTATTATCATATACAGCATATGTGGCCTCAACCTATACCTACCGACACAACGCAGCATCATTTTTTGGTATTTCTACGATATTGATGATACATCAATGATTTGAAATATTCTTGACAGTGATCCCTGTATCCAATATTAGCCAGCACTCTCAATGCCTTCTTTTGCATCCTAAATATTTGAATGGAATGACATGAGTTTCCCAAAGTTGTACCCCATAACTGATGTGTGAGTGAAACAGTGAAAAGTATGAGTTTTTTAATATATTTGCACTAGTGATGTACTTCAATTGGCGAAGAACAAATAGAGAACCCGAGAGTTTTCTCCTCAGTTGAGAAATATGTGCAGACCAGTTAAGTCTATTATCTAATGTAATGCCCAGTAATTTAACTTTATTAGTTTCACAATTAGAGATAATTTGATTATTAGCAGAAATCTGGATGTATTGTGTTTTCTGACAATTTAGTTTCAGCTTATTAGATAGAAACCACTGATTAGCACTGTTAGATATCTCGTCGAGATGAGACTGTAACATATCATTATTTTTATCCGACAGAATGAAAGTGGTGTCGTCCGCAAAAAGAACCGATTTGAACGGCAACATATGTTTGCACAAGTCATTCACATAAATGACAAATAAGAGCGGGCCCAAAACAGACCCTTGCGGAGCGCCATGCTTGATAGTTTGAAAGTTTGATAAGGTACCGTTGAGCATCACTACTTGTTGACGATTAATAAGGTATGTTCTTATTAAGTGAAGCGGAATACCTCTAACTCCGTAATAGTATAATTTTTCCAATAGAATTCAGAATTTTCTGAAACCATATTGTGAGTTGCTGAAAAATTTATTATTTTCAAAGTAGGCATAGAGCTGAATCTTAATTATAATTTCAACCACTTTACTGAATATTGAAATAATACTTATTGGTCTGTAGTTATCGATGGCTTTTTCATCCCCTTTTATAAAAAGGGGCACTACTTTAGAAGACTTGAAGATATCTGGAAAGATACCAGTACATAAGATTAAATTGATCAGTATAGTAAGAGGTTGGATTATTATAGACGAGGTTTCCTTTAGTATTCGACTATTGAGTTCATGGGTATCTGAACATTTGGTGTCCTTCAGTAAATTGATCGCTTCCAAAACTTTGTTCGGAAAAAAAGGAAAACGAATAAAAGATCGGCATTTGCTTTCCAAACTTGTAGAATCTACCTAGGCCATTCTGTTGAAATGATTGTTCTGTTTGCAGGAGTCCTTCATAGAAAGATGCCTTCGCTACTATAATTTCGAGATTATTCTGGGTCAGTTCATTCCTGCTATCTTCAACACGGCGGAAATTTGTACGGAACAAATGTCTGTCATTTTTATTTTGTTACGCCTTGTCAGGGAGCAAGATTCTTGGACTGATCACCAAGTGGATAGCTGTGGTTATTGGTTAATGATACTGTCACGCTTCCGAATAGATTTAGGATCCGGGTACCTGTTAGGCTAATTTTGTTCTGTCTTATAGACGAAAAATAGATATTAATAACGTACATTTTGGGTTCATCCTCTTGTTATAATCTACAATCGCGTACTTAAGAGCAGATCAGGATTTCTTCAGCAAACTAACTAAAGGCTATGTCAAAAGTGAATCTGAGTAACTTCTTCAATGTCTTTAATGAAGGAATCAAATTCTACTTTCAAATAATTGTTCATCAAAAATATGTGTATTTTTCTTCGATTTTCAGTAGCTACTGCAGCAAAACTAACCTTCAGACCACAGACTCTAAGCCTGTGATGGTACTGTTAGCAGGAAGAGTAGCCGGCTGTCACCTCAACCAATTGGACGACGGAAAAACTCACCCCTACCCCGCTTATCTCACATCAGACGATAACCGTGAAGACAAAGGCGATGACAACGATGAGGGTACCATATCTTCCAAGACCTACGTGGAGACTAAGCCCAATATTCTCAGCCCGGGAGACCAGATCATCATCTGGGTCGCTTCCAATATCTTCACTAGTCTCAGCTACACTGTTGCAGCTTCTACTTTGTCAAACAAGATCAGGCAGAAGTACTTTGGGCCGATTTTGACACTCGGAGATAATCCTATGGAGTTGTGTAAGGAGGGAACTGGTTTGATTTTGACTCATTACCATGTCAACGGAATGTCAGAGAATGGTACGAAGCCCCTCGCTATTGACGTTGTGATACATAGTCCAGATTGATTTTACATTCATGAATATATTTTCAAAAGTTTTACAGTTGAATGTGTGAATTCTTACATTTATCATATCAGGCAGTGAATGATTTGGAATATGATATAATTATTGGAAATGAAATTGGATTACGAAGTACCTATTAGGTTCTTTCAAAAATTTTATACGTGTTTATGAGTGTACTTAAAACTGATATATCGAAGTGAATACTCATCCCATTCAATCGAAATGAGCGTCATTTGAATCAGTGTACTTCTGTCAACGTAACACAAGTCTACTAATTCCATCAGCATATACATTTGATGCTCGGGATTCGATGAAGTTGATGAAGGCCGTTCTGCCTGGTCCTGATTGGCGAATGTTCTACCGGTGAGAAGTGCTTGAGAAAATTTTGATCGATTGACGAGAGGTCTCGAGAGTATGGTGGGTAAGGCAGAACTTCGACGTTTGGCCGGTTACAGAAAGCTGTAGTGAATCACAACAGTTGCTGACTACCATACATCAGAAAACTGTACACACCTCAGCAACTTTTGATGCTTTATAAAGCTCAGATCAGATCTTCTTTGGAGTATCGTGCTCATTTATGTAGTTTCGCCCTTAAGCATACCCTGAATCTGCTGTTTTCCATCCAGAAAAGAACCATCTGCCTGAATGGAGACCCAAACATCACTTGCTACCTTGATAGTCTGGAACATCGAAGAAAGGTGGAGATGTGTCTCTTTTTCATAGATACTTCCACGGGATCTAAATCCAAAGTGAATCGCTACGTTCGCACAGGCACAGGAGTTTTCTGTAGCTTGTGTTTTGCCCTTGAAAAAATTATCTTTTCTGGTGGATTTCGCCTTCAGGGAGTGCCTGAGTGGCTCAACGGTGTCCAACAACTGTCCTGAACGTCTTCTGTTTTGTCCAGTGATTTTAGGTCGATTTAGGCCTGTATTTCGGAAATTTGGCATACCCAGCTGTAAATATGTATAAACTTTGTATTTTGGCATCAAAATTCACATATGATTCGACGGCCGCAACTTCAGAAATTGGAGGTCAAAAGTCAAAAAAACGACTTTTTGCACGTTTTTTGCCAATGGGTTTAATTCTGATTGTATTTGTTATTAATATTGTAGAGAATTGAATTCTCTTCAACTTTTGTTTCAAACATTTTTTCATACGTTGAATCGTTTTTGAGGTAGAGGGCAGTGCGAGCGCAGATTAAATATTATTTGAAATCAACTGGTTGTCCCGATCGAAATCAGCTCATTTGAGGTTTATAAATTATTACTTAATGAATAATTATGAACAATTTTCATTTTTTATTAACAAATACATCAACACTAAACAGGCCAGAGATGATGCGGATGTTCTCATTATTGAGACAGCTATTGAAGAATCTAAACGTCAAAGAACAGCAATTATAGTCGGTGAAGATATTGATTCATTTTTGATTTTAATTGGGCGTACACTATCTCTTGAACAATACATTTTCTTTTAAAAAGTTGGCAAAGCAAATGTGAAAACGGAAATATACTCATCTAAGAGTTTCGACACATATTCAAGTTCTAAAAATACATTTTGTTTCTTCGCGCTTTAAGCGGCTGTGATACGATTTTTGCGCTTTCTAAAAACTTTCGAGAAACTATCTAATTTGGATGAACTTGACGCAGCATTTGAAGAAGAAAACTGCCCGGTTCAAAGATTATTTGATAGTGAATTGCAAACTTTATTAGCTGTTTATAATGCTCCAAAGTCTGTAGATATTATTGATTATCTTCGTTATGCACAATATATCAAGCTAACAAAGCTCAATAAACCTGTGTAGTTATCAAATATCCCACCAACAAGTGGAGCAACTCACCAACATTCAGTAACTGCAAAAGTGGTTGTGGTTCAAGATGTGGATGCAGAAAAGCGGGGTTGCAATGCTCTTCAGCTCGTGGCAGTGTAATGGGCAAGCTTGTCTCTATGTTGTACCATATGAGACCGATGTTAACGAAGATAGGTCCTTCGATCCAGAAATAATGGAAGAATTGAAAACTAATCTGGGTTAAGATGAAAATGAAGATGATAACGCTCTTGAATTTTTACAGCTGCGAGAAGACGACGACGAAGAAGAAGAAGAAAATTGAAATTAAAACTCATTATGCTTTTAATTATTTTATCTGTGTTTTTAATTTTGACATTCACAAATGTATCAAATGAGATTCTTTAATGAAAATATTATTTAAAATTTTATTTCTTTCTATTCATTTTTATTTATTAAAGAATAGTTCCTATAGGTTATATTTGAATTATAATGTAATATATGAACGATATGGCGTGAGAGGGACTGCTCACAAGTTAATCAAATCATATCTGCAAGGCAGAATTTAATGAGTTATTGTTGACGTCACTGTGAGTGAACCACGGAAAATAGAGCAAGGTGTCCCTCAAGGATCGATACTCGGACCACTTTTCTTCATCATTTTTGCGAATGACTTGTTTCACTATTTTCAACAACTTCCATCAGTACACGTGGTAACATATGCGGATGATACAAATTTCCTTTTAGCAGAGAAAGACTCGGTAACTCTATCAGATATTACTGGAAAGGTATACCAGTAAATTATAACATGGGCAAGTAAAAATCACCTGAAACTCAACATAACTAAAACTGTACTGATGAAATTTACTATGGTTACAAATGAGTCCGAGTTTTTCAGTATATATGTGGATGATGATTTTCATGTAGAATCCTCTGAAGAAACTAAATTATTAGGCATAACAGTTCAATACAGACTCACCTGGACACCACATATCGACTCACTTTGTGAAAAACTACGTGAAAATTGTTATGCGTTAAGATTCTAATCTAACTACTGTAATGCTACAATCTTTCATTCATTCATTGTCATTTACAATACGAGATTCTGAATAGGGGTACGGGATCGTCCGTGGAAAGGATTTTCATATTACAAAACTCGGCAATTCGAATAATTGCTAAACTTGGACGGAGAGAATCATGCAGGAGCTCTTTCAAAAACCTGAAACTTCATACGGTTGTTGGAATATATGTTTATGAATTATATATTTTTGTTTATAATAACAAATCAAGTTTTTTATCGAACAAGCAAACTCATGATTATCCAACTCGCTCTGGAAATTTGCTAGTACCTCGATCACTAAAAAATATTTTTTTTAATAAAAAGTATCCTATGTTACTTCTAATACCTCCAAGAACATGCGTAGAAAATTTCATGATGATCGGAAAATTTACATTCGCATTTATAATATTTGTGGTGATTGTTTAATAATCCTGTGAATGAAATCTAATTCAATTCCACAACGGAAGTTTGGAATACAAACTGAATAGCAAAAAGTCAATGTTTGTGTTGGAAAGTTACTCCTTTGCATCATTTACACATCTTTGTTGAGAGTTTATTTTGAAATTACCTAATTGCTTTCTTTCTTTGGAAGATTTCCTACATTTTCATATAAAGATGGGGAAGTAGGAAGCCAAACCTTTTTTTCCCCTCTCTTTGGAATTTTTCAAAACGGTAATATGTCTTCAAATTCCATGTAAGAATAAAATCCCACATCAAAAACGAAAAATAGAACCTCAAATTGATATACGTCAGTTTTTAATACCACTTATATGTTAGTGATGAAATTTTTCCAACACATTTATTTATGATCATTATTGAAATATGTAAATTATGAATTATATAAATCATACAATTCGAACGATCATTCATATCGTTTCAGTTCTCTCATTAATCATAACATAAAAGTGATTCATTTAAAGAACGCCGTCCGTGGACCATAATACTGCCCACTCTGGCTTGTTCCGATGAAAAAACAAGTAAAAGTTCTCTCTACAGTTACATTCTGTTACACTTCCTGACGTTTAATGTTTATTTTATTCAAATTTTCGTTGATTTGCTCGAAAAGTTAAAAATTCCAGTCAGCACTTCGATAGAAGTGTTGAAATCTGAAACTATTCATGATATCGAACTTCATTAGTATTTCAAAGTATGTACGTCATTTATTTGAATTCAGTTGAGCAAGAGCAATTTCATAGTATCTTTAATTGGATCGTTTCGGTTCTCAATTAGAGTTTTGACTAGGAAAACAATGAGTAATGAAGTTCTAACTGCTCATCATTAACACATAGATATTTCAACATCATTTCAATAAGCAACCTATTAGATATACTTTTTCTAATGAATACCGATGATTTATACATAATTTGACATAAATTAATAGCTTTCTTCCTTTTTTTGAAAGATTCCCACATTTATTTTTGTATGAAGGTGGAGAAGTAGAAAGCCAAAATTTTTCCTTTCAAAAAATCGATCTCTCCTGAAAAATATATATATGGAATTGTCTGTCCTGACATTATTATATCCGGTTTGGCAACATTTTTCTTTTTGGAGAAAACCGATGCCTGGGTTTTTGTGACATTGAATGAATCTCATTACGTACTATCATCTATGACTTTGAATTTCACTAGTTCGGACTTCCATTGTCTAATATATAAAATGATTTGAAATCCCTGAAACAACTAAAAAAGAACAATTAAAAATGAATTGCTGAAAATAACAATTACATTAAACAAAAAAACCTGAAATCAAATAATAGTGAAATAAAATACAAGTAAAATTAGAATAATTAAACCAATAAAAAATAAAAATAAAGAAATAAAAATGAAAACAGAATAAAAAGTTAAGCGATTCCAAGCCAAGTTACTTCACGACGTTTCGATTGTCAGTATCTACAATCGTCTTCGGGTGATGACTAGACTGATTCCTCCAAGAGATGTATGGGTCGTTCGAGAACTTTCACTAATCCCCGCTTTCCATTTTTTCCGCTTCACTGGTTCAATGGGAGATGACCGTTTGGCGGGAGTTGACCATTTTTCGCTTGATCATGACTTTCTATATGTTGCGTATCTCTCCGCTAGCTTGGCTGAATACGTTGTTGGACAAAATGTATGCGGCTTCCTTGAATTTTCTCCTAAACCAATATTCCTCTCTGTGTAAGATCTCAGCTTGGGACCACTCGATGTTGTGTTGATGGGTCCAAACATGGTATGCTATTCCTGATTTGCTGGTTTCCCCTCACTGTGTGTGTTTCTTGTGCTCGGCAATGCGAACATTCAATGGCCTCTTAGTTTCACCAATATAGGATTTTCCGCACTCACAGGGCAAAGTCGCAATTTCATGAAGTATTTGAGTACCTCATTTCGTAGTGTTTTCCAGAAAGATGCCGAAGAGGTAATTAGGCAAGTGTCTTATTCCGGATGTCCGTCATTGAGGATGACAGTATTACATTATAATGATTAAACAATTGAACATTTTTTCATTCTCGCCGCGTTTTGCTAACATCGTAGCTTCATCAGTTGTAATCATTACCGATGAAACTTTGAAGAAAAAACATTTTTGACAATAAGAAAAGACAGGAAATGTCCTTGGAATCCTTCCATAATTCAATTTGTAAATTACTGTATCTGTATTTTCGAATACATATGTATGTATATATGAGCATAGTAATCATTACTACCGATAAAGCTTTGAAGAAACATATTTTTGACAATCGGTTCACTTATTGGGAAAAGACAAGAAATGTTCTTAGAATCCCTCTATAATTTGATTTGTAAATTACTATATACATATCTTCATATGCATATGTATGTATATATGAGCATAGTAATCATTACTACCGATAAAGCTTTGAAGAAACATATTTTTGACAATCGGTTCACTAATTGAGAAAAGACAAGAAATGTCCTTAGAATCCTTCTATAATTTGATTTGTGAATTACTATATACGTATCTTCATATGCATATGTATGTATATATGAGCATAGTAATCATTACTACCGATAAAGCTTTGAAGAAACGGATTTTTGACAATCGGTTTACTTACTAAGAAAAGTCAAGTAATGTCTTAAGAATCCTTCTATAATTTGATTTGTAAATTACTATATACGTATGTTCATATCCATATTTATGTATATATGAGCATAGTAATCATTACTATCGATGAAGCTTTGAAGAAAGAAATATTTGACATTCGGTTTACTCATCAAGAAAAGTCAGGAAATATCCTAAGAATCCTTCTATAATTTGATGTGTAAATTACTATACACATATCTTCATTTGCACATGTATGTATATATGCGCATAGAAATTAATCATTACTACCGGTGGAGCTTTGAAGAAACAAATATTTGACAATCGGTTAACTTATTGAGAAAAGACATGAAATGTCATAAGAATCCTTCTCAAATTTGATTTGTAAATTACTGTATATGTATCTTTGTATGTATATGTATGTATATATGAGCATAGTGGTGTATGCACCACTTTTGTTGATTTTCTCAACCGCTACATAATTGGCAAATATTTTACATACGTTTCAAAGGTAGTTAAATAATCTCTTACATTTATAATTTTGTTAAAAAATTGGTCTGATTCAAAAAAAATCTCTAGAAATGTGTACTTGAACCGTAAAATAATGAAAAATAAATAAAAAAAGTTTGAGGTTGAAAATAACACAACTGAAATTCCAGACATCTTTGACTGTTCCAGTATCTGGAAAATATCTTGTTGAAGTCATACCTTCATGTTACTAAACTCCATAACGAGAAGCCATCACGTTCAAAATCAACTGCTAGATGAAAAAATTCGCAAAACAACTCTGATTATATTGATCGTATTTACTTTTTTATAGACAACTACTAGTGCAACTACTCTGAATTTTTATTTAGGTACTGATAGATGCAGAATTCTTATCCAATTCCTATAATTTACCAAAAATCTAATATATAGACAAAAAACTACAGGTTCATATTTTTGAATGTTTATCTAATTTGAAAATAACATTTGTTCGAAGGTGATTGACAATGTGATATTTTTTATATCTCCATTTATTTTATCTAAATTTGACATATGTTATTTTCTAACTGATTAGTATAGGATTGTTCTACTTTTGTAAATATTGTGTATATTTAAAAAAAGCATTCTTTAAAATTTTTTTCCCAACATGCATTGTCAAAAAGAACTTAATTTCTTGGAAAACAAAGTATATTTCTCTCTCTCTCTTTTTGTATATAATTGTATCAAATTGTATCTATAGTAACATCTGCTTATATTTATTTTTCACTAGACTTAAATGCAGATACTTCGAATTTTCATATATTTAACCATGCACAAGGTATGTTCTTTTGAAATTTTCTTCATATTCATCAGATAACTTTATTCATCCCTGTATGAGTTTTGATAACTGTATGAGAGAATTGAACTACTCCAAAATTGAAAGGAACCAAACTTCAAACGACATAATCATCATAGAAATAGACTATTAGCAGAAACCGATAAAAATTCATTAAACGTAAACAGAAGAATGTTTTTTTGAATGGACAAACGCGACAAATCCATCGATCACTCCTAATTTATTCAACATATACCGATGTGCAAAGTATAGAAAATGCATGTTCTTCCATCAACTGTAGCATCAACTAACCTACTTTCCTCTCTTTCCACTACACAGAAAATACGCTGAACACGTCTCTATCTTAGCTGCAAGAAGAAAGCATATATAAATAAACTACAATTTCTCCTATCATTCGTTAATTAGTGATTGAGTGGTGAACTGTTCCACGGGATTTAAAAAAAAACCATGACTTTGGTGAAGGTAAGCAGTCATTGATCCATCCTGATATTGAGATTAAGAGAGCGATGATTATATAATCGAAGACTTTGAGTTTGTAACTAACGGTGAGAGGAGAATCAATTTTTATTTAGCAAATTTTGCAGACATTCTAAATAAAATCATAAGGCAGTTGATTGTTTTTGAGAGAACGCTACTTTTTTTTAAAGACGCCAGGAAAATAAAGAGGTTTTTTAGGATGCTCTGGCTAACCACGGGAAAGAATTGTACTGATAAATTATTTAAGAACTCGCCCTTGTCCGATTTTCACTGAACCTTTTATAAAACTGTGACACGTGTTTCACAATACATTAGCTTTCTCTGTTGTATGAACACGTCTGAGGAATAGAAAAACACGTGTTATGGTTTTGTAAACTGTGTATGTGTATGTGTGATTGATGACTTGTTTATTTTGTGGTAATCCATGATCAATTTAATGAAATGAATAAAAATACTTTTGTCTAATTACCACTAGTTGATTTTATTTATACGACCGGTTTCGGGTTTGACCCCATAATTAATTATCATCGGATATATTGAAAAATATAGGAGATTGAATTATGTATGACTGAAAGTTGAATAAAAGTAGAAAATAATGTATGGTCTTCACAACTGAAAAATATTTTGGAAATGTTGAAATTGAAAAAAATCATTTACTTCAAGATTCATCTTCTTATTTCATACAAAACACACTTGGATTTATTTATACAAAAATTATTGAATCATACAAAATGATGGCGTGTTTGGAATGACAATATAGTGAATGTGTTGAATTCAATTTGTTTTTGTTTCATTTTGTTACAAAGTGAAGGAATAAGATATGTTTTGGAAAATCATTCAAAGGAGTAATTTCCATTGAAACCTATAATGGACGGATTGTTTATTCTTTATACTTATACTCTTATTATATGAAACGTAGCTTGAAAATGATAGTACTGATTTTGTGTATGTACATTATTAGTAAATATTAGTTTTTTCCCAACACCAAACCTTTATTTTACCACCTCGACACGTGTTTCGATCACCAAGTGGTCATCTCCAAGAGGAAGTTCAAACTAAACATACTCCTCCATACATACCTATTTCAGGTATCAATGGAATAAGGCTAGTAGATAAGGCAAAATTGTGAAATTAATTTAAGACACTTAAGACGTAGATACCTAGCAGAGGTATCCTTATTTATCTATGGTATAAATAAGGATAACTTCGTAAGTATGTTTAGTTTGATCTTTCTCTTGAAGATGATCATTTGGTGATCGAAACACGTGTCGAGGTGTTAAAATAACGGTTTGGTGTTGGAAAAAAACTCCAGTAATATATATTACCACACCAAAGGTTTCAAACAATACATCACAAGTACATTATTAGTATCAACATTTGACATTTAATGGTACCTAGCTAAAGTAAATATGCATACACAAACTATTCAATAAAAGATTTCATAAATAAATAACCTTTCCTGACATTACCATGTTACTATATTCAAAATTTAAGTGATAAATTAAGCTTTCCTCAAGTTAAACATTTCAATATTGAATAATTCAACTTGGATTAGTTTAAGTTATCACTTCTTTTGGGCGCCCCGAGAAACAAAATACGTTTGTTAGCAGAAAGAAGGGTCTTTTTTTCATTGAATCAGAGTAGGGATAATAGTTCCAGAAGTCGGGTCACAGAGGGTTACCTGATAGATATTTATGGTAGAAATCATTGTAAGTCACTGTTTTTCTCCAAGTTTGATACTTCAATCAGATTGAACAATTGATAAAAAAACGTGTTTGAAGATAAGCTCTCATACAAATGCATTGAATTGAAAAATCATTTCTTCAATTGTTTGATCTAGGTTATTCTGTAACATTTTCAAAATCTTCCCGCTCAAGATCGCCAATTTTTTATCCGCTTCAAGCTTCTTACTCACAGAATAACGTCGATCAAAAAATGAAAGGAACTATTTTTTTATGTATTGAAATAAGGAATACAAATTATTTACTTTCAATTAATTGACATGTCCAAATCAGCAAGGTCGAGAAAAACATATCTTAATATGAAAATGTTTTCATAAAATATGACAAGTAATCACCACTTGAAATTGATGATATTATACAACATTCACCCTGTATATTGGATCAATAGATTCTGAACTCAATATATTGTGGCTTTTTTCACTTACGGTAATATTACACAGTATCAGAATCAAAATGGTTAACAATATACACTCTTGATATCAATAGTGAATTTTATGAAGCAAGAGCTGAAACGATCCCTCTACGAAACCCTTCTTTACTTGGAAGGATCAATCGCAGCTTGAGAAATGATTCTTATGCAGATTATGTGAAACATGTTCTTTCTAACGAGTCAGTAGAGAGTTGTCCTGAAAATTTTGAGAACAAAATTGGATTAGATAATTTAGGAAACACTTGCCACATGAATAGCATTTAACAAGTGTTATTCATGACGAAAAATTTCAAGAACGAGGTTTTAATAATGAACGCGAACGAGAATGTTTCCTACTTATTCACCAAACTCAAACACCTGTTCATGCAGCTGCAGTTTCGTAAGAATGTATCATCTTTCCCTCCAACCGATTTCCTGGAGTCTTTGAAGTCCACTAGATACTCGTTAGGACAACAATAGGATGGTTCTGAATTCTTGGGGTTCTTGTTGAATACTGTTCATGGGCAAAACAATAGCAGAATCAATACTCCTGAGCGCTCTGGATTGAATGATTCCGTACAGTATATCTCATCTTGTGTTTGTCAATCTTTTGCTAGAAAAATCTTCACTTGTTTACTTTGTAGTAAATGTTCAAGAGGTAGCAAAAACATATGTGAATTTCTGGAACTTCACCTAGCGTTCATTAATATGACTAATAACCAGTCCGTGCAAAACTTATTGTTAAATCATCTGAAAATGGAATTTTTAACAAGTGGTGATCGACTGTATTGCCAAACATGCGCTAAACTAACTGACTGTTATAAAAAAACAAGTATAGCTCAGGCACCAGTCAATCTAATAATAACACTGATGATCTTCAAACAAGACTCAACCTCTGACGGAAGCACTAAACTCTTTCGAAGGTTCGAAATAGATGAACACTTCAATCTAGCAGACCACTATTATAATATTCATGCAGTCATTGTTCACTGTGGTTCTGGTGTTGAATTTGGTCATTATTACGCCTTGGTCAAAGACGAAACGGACTGGTTTAAGTTTGACCATAGTCGTGTTACCAAGTGTTCTGGCGATGTATTGAGTTTATTGGAGCCTCTGGAGACACCCTACATTTTGTTTCATGAGAGAGAGAGGACATTAGCAGATCAAGATCTTCAGATGATGTGGTGCTGCAGGATTTTCTGGGTTTTCCTGCAGCTGAAAAAGCAAATGCGGCACTGGAATCAATGAAGTCGCCCCGGAGCGCAAATTAATTTTTTTTGTTGGTCTATAATTTCACAAATAAAGGTCTTCATTAAGAAAAATATGTAGTAATACTGGAAAAATAGCAAGTCTGAGAATACCATATATACAAATGGAACAGCTGAAAGTTATTGATTCCCAAATATTTTGTGTACAATGACTCTTTCTTCCAAGACGACTGATTGTAGTTGACATTAGGGCGACCACCCTATGCAAAATTCAGGGAGGGAAGTTGGAGTCGATTTGATGGATCATTTCTAGAAATAATATCGTTCATTGTGTACGTGAAATTAAGGTAATCAACGATACATTAACTCCACTCGACTGCATACTTTTACCAGCAAAATGTAATATATTACATGCACCGCGTCTTTACTAGGCCAACAGTATATCAGAGAAGAGTCATTTGCATTCTCGTACAATTAAGATTCCCATGATCAAACCGTGATGATACGAATATACTGTCAATGAAGATACGAGAAGCAAATACCAATTACAAGATTTACTTTCATTTAAATCGATTCCATCTGGCTTTAATACGTAATAAGCAGAACAGTCATTTTAGATGTTAGATGATACACGAAGAATGCCATATTTTTTCATTTCGTGGTGATTCATCATAAAGGTTCAAACATTTAGAAAATTTGAGAACTGTGTATGAAGGTGTTCTGCAGGTCTCAACAAAATATTGAATACTTTCAATAACAAGTGACACAACACTTGTGAAAGGGAACTTTTTGAATCTTAAAACAGGAAAAAGTCGCGGGGGAACAAATCTGGTAAATACGGTGGCTGAGGCTTGATTACGGTGTTGTTTTTCGTAAAAAATTAGAAGCAATGCCGGGTGAGCAGGTGCTCTATCATGATGTGGAAACCCTGAATTGTTCTTCCAAAGTACCGGACGTTTTCTTCGTATTGCTTCTCGCAAGCGGTTGATAACTTCAAGATAATACTCATTACTGACCGTACGACCATGTGACAGTATCCCAATGAATTGATGAGAAAATTGCACTATACAACAACTTTAACACGAATATGATTCATCACATCCTTGAGAAAAAACTTTTCAAACATGGCGTTAACCATTTATACAGAAAAACCAACAGATGAAATGAAAAGCTACTGACAAAAGAGAACATTTCCATAGCATGTAAGACTGGTAACTCTTCGGGTAGACATATAAAGAACAATGAGTTGAAAGTGGACAAAAATAACAAATTCGGGGTCTACAAACTAACATATGGATCATACTCAATAGTTTATATAGGAAGGACTTTGAGGAATTTCAGAACGAGGAGTTTCGAACATGAAAGTTTTGAACCAAACAAAGCGATTTTCACCTATGCTTGCCAATTTAGGTGAATAACTATGATTTCATCATGGATTATCACATATCAGTTATACAGAAAGTAAAGGACAAAAATTAAACCTGCCGAAGTTTCTGGAAATCAATAAACGCAAACTCTCAAATATTGTTTCAAACGACCAACAGGAAGTTACTTACTCACCATTGAAAAACTTGTTTTCATGAAATGTCAGTAATTAATATATTTATGAATAACCTGTTTTCCTGGTAGTAGAGTTGTATCGTTACTATTTTTTCAAAATATACTTGTTTCACCACAGTTTATCTAATTGAGTTTTGTAGGTACCTATTTTTATATAAGACACATTGTAGAATAACTTGATGTACTAGTCCAACTGATGAGGTTATGGTGTAGCAAGAGGCGTATCAATCTAGAATATTCGAGGAAGTTGAGTTGGCAATAGGGTTTTCACCACATAAGATTAACTACCCCCTGCCACAAATGTCTGACTTTGCTGACAGAATGTCTTTCAATTCATTTGAAATCGACAGTGATGTGTCACGATTCAATTCTACGACCGACCTTGTTTCTACCTAAAGTGAAAAACTTTTTCAATTTTGCCTCGTAAGACGAGTTGCATACCATCTACCGGGAGTGGAAATAATAAAGAATATAGAAGTAAATCTAGACATTCAAATACACCTCTCTCGATCAAACGAAGCCATAACCCACTAGTACAAGCATTAATTAATCTGTTTTCAAAGTAGGTCTTATAATCGTTAATCTCTTTTTTTATCATTCGATAAAGCAGGTTTCAGGATTTCATCTCCCTGATAAGTTTTATTAGGATTGTTTTTCCACAACAACTACTACCAGATCTGTTTCATCAGAAATTGAGTCTTTGCATTTGTCCAATATTTTTTAAATTAATGACTGAATATTTCTGAATATGACGTGACCACAAGTATCCGGAATACTTGCATAAATCAACTTGCCTTTTATTCAGAAAAATCTGCAGTTGTACCAATATATTTTGTCTTTCAACACTAAAAACAGTTCCAGCACAGCAACTCTGCAGAATGGAAGCCTGAAAAGAACCAAAATTCACCTAGTTATTTCTGTTTCTATACTACGCGAAATTGAAGAGAGTAGTGAATTGAACATTTGAACACATTTTATTAAAGACACTCATTCATCAAAATTTTCAGCTGTATTGCAAATCGTTTTTCAACATTTGTTTGATAGTTTGCAGTGAAGGTATTGATTGGTGTGTGTTTTGTTTCGATGAACATTTGTAGTAGACTATTTTGTTCAATCTTTGTTATGAACTTCTTGATATCGTTAACATATCTCCATCAAATTTCGAACCATTTCAACGAGTTTTTCTTCAAATTTTTCAATGAAAATTCCAAATTCTTTTTTATTAAAGTCAATCCCAAAGCGGAAAAAAGTGTTTGTCTATAAAGAGCTTCAATTTTGAGCTATCATTCATATTCGTCCGATGTTTGAGATTTGAGTTAATTTCCAACCTGGATCTTACAGTTTTATTAACAGATACATTCGTGAAAAGACATTCAACATCGAAGCTTAACAGAACATCATCACTTAGTGTTTTATGTTAGTTTATGGAGTGGATTGTATTTTTCAGAAAACTGTTATCATTTCCTGATATCGGTTTCAAAATTTCTGAACGCTGTCTTGCTAATTTTTGACAAAAAGTCCATCTGAACTCACAATGGGTTCTGTAGGAACATAAAAATTGGCAATAAATGACTTTTGTTCAATAAAGTTGTGGATGGTATCTTTTCTCATAGAGGAGAGTTTTTTCTGTTTCAGATTACTTTCCTCTTCCTAGTTGTATCACAAGTAGTACTGGCATACCCTAGGATAATTTATCAGCAGCACACCCAAGAGGACGATCATGAAAGTAATGCAGTGCAATATCCGCAATTCTATGGGAATCCCAAAATAGATGTAGGTGCTGATCATCAAGAAACTGTTCAGGTAGCTGATAGTCATGTAGTGGCAGGAGAATATGATCACGCTGAGAAAGAGGGACATCATGTGATTGATTATTATGTGAGTTTCGAACGACTTTTTCCAAAATATCTTTTCTGCATGAAAACAACTCGAGATTTAAATTGATTACTTGTTCTAAAAGAAAAACCTCGCATACTGATAATGATAAATGAAAGATGGTTTTCAGTTTTGATAATACCTGCCAGACATTAAAGTTCCAATCCAACAGTAGAATGGAATGGCGTAGCTCTCTAATATTAGTCGAAATAATGTTTCATTCAGTATTCATTTTAATGTAATGAAATAGATAATTGATAATTTAGTGCTGAGGCTACAAAACCAATATAAACATACGATTGTTTTCCACCTTTTCCTTTTTTATATTTTCCATATTTGACTTGATGAGGCAACAGTTTCCAAATTTGGAAGTGATAACTTCTTATGGAAGGGTAAACCGCTTCGTTACTTAACGCGTAATGGCGCCAGTTTGTCTGGCTTCCCTTTCTATCACGCATACGTCAGCGAAAGGCAGGCTCTTCCTCTCTCGTAGGACAGACGCTCAGTGTTTGGTTTGTGTTAGACATATACTGTTGACAGAATTATAAAAATCCTACCAACAACCCTGTAATATTATTTCATTATGTGAAACGTGGCTTAAAAATGATGCTACTACATTTGTGCATGTACATCATCAGTATCCTTATTCAATCCTACAAAAGTAACAATTGGCTTAGCTATAATATATGTACACACATAAAACAATCAATAAAAGTATATCATCAGATATACATAGAAGTTAAGTAATAACATAAGCTTTTCTCAAGTTGAACAATTTCAATATTGAATACTTCAATTCAGATTAGTTTAAATTATCACTTCTGTCGGGCGTCACGAGACGCACAGGTTTTTTTATATTGCGTTTTTAGCTCATACATCTGACCAATTTGCACAGTTTTTTACTACATACACTACTTCCAAAAGTAACAGATGAATTTTATGAGAGGGTTGAAACAATAATTCAGAAAAAATTGTTATAAATGCCTCAAATCTAATTTCAACAAATATGTTTTTGAATTATAAGTATGAAAAACCATTAACCATTAACCAAAGGGGTAATTTGCCATTTGATTTACACAAATTTGGAATTTAAGCCTCCAAGGATAAGAAGTGTGAATCGCTACTTTCGCACAGGAACCGATCTTAGAGAGCCTTAAGGAATTTATTGTATTGCTTGTGTTCTGTTTTTTTCCATTTTATACATATATAAACAATTGATGAATATGAGTACAACTTTCCGTTTGTGATTCATTTTAAAAAGTTGGTTTTTGATTATAGAGTAGATATATCTGTCTACTAGCTTCAAATGGTAATCAAACAAATTTATTCATAATTTAGTTTTGAAGACGATTTGACTGAATATAAATATTTTTTTGTATCAAGATGGAGTAGTAGAAAGCCAAAAACTTTATTTCCCAAAAATTGATCACTCCTAAAAATATAACCCCTTCAATTCATATTTCCTTTATATGCTGTTGACGATACAACGGCTGGAACCGATTTTCAATTATAGGAACGGGCACATTTGAAAATCGATTCCAGTAGTTTGTTAAGTTATCCGTAAAAGGTACCTATTTATTGTCGCTTGTCCACCTCTAATAGCTCATATGGAGATCCTAAACAACCGCCCGATAGCTGCTGCCACTAACGGAAAAATTAGAAACCTTGTTGGTCCTTTACCAAGGTATTTTATTAATTTTCAGTTGGAATTGACAATGATACTCGAACTGTGAATTCAACTTAGGGATTTTCGTAAAACCCTATAAGCAGTTATAATTCACATGTTCACAGAAACGGATTCGTAATAGTGCCGATTTGAAAGGTTGAGAATTCCATTTTCTTATCTCTTCGGAGGATATTTTTATCAGTTTTTTCCAACTGTATATGAAAACGTCTTCGAATTATCAGGGTTCGATAATCGAAGGTGAGATTTCAAGCATTATTCCTTGTGTCATCACAGGACTACAATATATTTCATAATACGAGGAATCCAACAATAATTCAATTTCAGTCATTTTTTTTTAATAACTTGTGTACCACCCAGAAAAACCCGATATTACTATACGAACAGTCATTTGGGGACAAGGAAATGAGGAAATGTCACATGGGTTTTCATCCTCTTCCTTGATGGAGTAGCGCAATAGTGCCCTATTACAGCTGGCCCTTTGGAATCGAGGCTAACCACCGCATGGCGGCATTAAGGACTTTTCTTTTGAGTGAAAATTAAATATATATTTCTTATACCAATTCCATCACATTTCACATTACCAATATCATGTCTTCCGGTCAAGTTTCTCTTCAGAAATTTCTAACTAGAGAATAAGTCTTCCCCCTCGTTGTGCAGGAGATTGGAAAGGTAGTTTTCTTTTTCCCAAACACCCTGTTCAGTTTTGTCTGTCGTGCACAACCTCCCTCCGTGGTTGGCTGGTATTTGTTAGTGTAGGTTTTTCTTGCTCATTGCCAAACCCTGTGTAGAAATATGTCATTTGCCAAATTTTGAGTTTTATTGGGGCATTATTGTTGCTATTACGTTATATAGGGTTAATAGTAAATCTATTGGCGCCCTTGGAACATAAATCATTTGTATAACTCACCCCCCTCTCGCTGTCTAAAAGCTAGCTGTGAGCTCATCCCGTTTATATCTGAAATACCCCACATATGAACTGATGATTGGATAAGTAAGGAAAAGAAAAAAATAATACGTAACAAGTTGTATGGCCAACATCATATGCAGAAAATGTTTCTGTGAAGATGTCTGTCCTGACAGCGGTCGGAATTAGCCTTCATGGTATTAGCCAGGGGAATAGTTGTTTTCTGAAAGATGTCAGTCCGTTAACCTACAGTGTAGGTGAGTCGAGACTGGAGTGAACAAACTGTTCTTTGAGTTGAATTGATTTACAGCCAGTCTTCAAGTATGCCTACTGTATATATGTGAAAATGCGATGTTGTTTCTGTACTGAAAAATTAATAATTTATTGATTAACCTTCAATCTTTCACTGACGAAGAGTTCTTGATTGATAAAACGTCGACTAGAAGTGCAATATAATAACTTTTGGCAAATTTATCACATATGGATTTAGTTGAAACGAATGTATGGCATATTTCAACACGAACATCCAGTATAATTCCCCTCAAAAATGTATGTTATAAAGAATCAAAATATTTGATGTTTTGTCTCTCCTTTATAAAGATCCTAGTAAATTCAGAAACTTGAATATTACAACATTCCGCACGACTTTTTTCCTGATTGTGAAAAAAAAATCAGAATTAAATGATGATTGCTTAAGTAACACATAACGAATTAATATGGTGCGATTACTCGAAAACGATTGAATGCTTCCTCATTGAATCACTGCGCTTTCCATTTATTTTAATTCGGTTACGGAAACGTGCATGTAAAATGGAACTCGTTTCTTCATTTGCCCCAATGAGCATCTGTCGAGAATTTCTTCCACTCATTGAACATATGTCAGTCCGAATAAAGACGTGGTTGAATTCAAAGAATGACTTTCTTTTGGGAAATTTACATCTCAACATTCCTGCGTTAAAGGTTATTAACTCACGGGTACAAAAGTAGTATTTGTAAACAATATAATGGAAGTGAAGTTATTAGATTCACTATCATCACACACCCAAGGCTTGATGATGAAGACGTGAAGATTGGATAGGGAGAATGCATAATATGTACCGTTATCGATGTCGAAAATATCATAAAAATGTTCAACAAATATGAAAAATCATGATAACTTTAATAATATAGATATGTACTTATGTGATTCACGGATCAACACAAAATTTGACAATTCTTCAGGTCGTAATTAGACGGTAATCAAATCATTAAAATCTTCTGTAGTGATGAAATGATGTTTTGGTTGTTCTGGTGTCGGTGAAAACTCCTTATCGGAATTACTTTCATGAGAACTAAGAGATGAGCTACTTTTCTGTTTTAATTTTTTCATCGGCTCAAGTACTGGTCGTGTCAGATCGTGTGCGACTGGAGCAGAAGAAGATTCAAGATCTGGATATTCGATAGGTTTTGCATTTTTACCTCGGATTCACAATGGAAAAGTAGTAGTCGTTAACGTGGTCTTTTGGTTCCCGCCAGATTCTTGGTATTGCAAGTTTCATAGAGCTTTTCACACCTCGATACCAACCTAAAATATGGAAATAGAAATTAGTATAACACATATATAACAAAATGCATCAGCATCATATTTACACTTTCTTGACGACATTTTTAGTTATTCTAGATTTGTACAAAACACTTGATCGTTGTTTGTCACTCTAGTGCCATCTATCAGCACTGTGTGAACGTTAAAACCCTACTCTGATTGCGCGGTATTTTTAAATGTATTAAAAATTATCGAAATTTATTAAAAATTCAAAAATTAGTATTATCATTACTACAACTATTACAAAGGCAAACTTTATACAAAAAAAAGGTAGTTTCTTTTCGTTTTTGTTCATAATTCAGCAGAAAATCATAAAATAGACTTCAGAACAAACAACGAAAATCATTTCATAGAGTCTTGATTATTTCCCTCAAAGTATACAAACGATGATATGTTCAACCGATCCAAATGACCATACATCGATCGCAAGCACATATACTTCCTATTTTTCGAAGTTTCAGTTTGTATTATAGTTATTATAGTAGCGATTCACGTTAGATTTGAATCGCTGGAGATTAAATTCATTTGAAAACACGTTCTCAGGAAGTTTATTCCACATACACGCAGTTCTCTAAATGAAAGAGTTTTTGAGCAGTGAAGTTCGAGGTGTACTGAGTTGAACCTTAAACCGATGAGCAGCCACAGTCCGTCGTATTTCTGATATATCCTATTCTTGGTGGAATCAAATGTGCCAAGTACATGAACACTTCCCGTGAAAGTATCTATAAAACAGACTATCAAGGTTGCAAGTGATGTTTGTGTCTTCATTAAGGCGGATGGCTCCTTTTTGGATGGAATCCAGTAGTTTCAGGGTATGTTTAGGGGCGGAGCTCCATATATGAGAACAATACTCCAAAGAAGGTCAGATCTGAGCTTTATAAAGCATCAAAAGTTGATGAGGTGTGTACAGTTTTCTGGTTCGAAACAGTGTTTTATGTTTTTGAGAAGCAGCATTTGCAATTCTAGCGACATGATTGTGCCAAGACATATTGGTGCCCATTTTAACCGCCTTACAAACTTATCGAAGCAGAAAGCGGAATTGTTTGTCCTCACATTATTATATCCAGTTCGGAGGCATTTATCTTTTGGAGAAAACCGATGCCTGGGTTTTTGCAGCATTGAATAGAACCTGGTTAGTTTCACCCCAATTCGAAATCACCTCTAGATCCTCATTAAGATATGCAACCTCCTGCTGCCGATGACCTGGAATCCAAATGGAATGACAAAACAAATGTCCTGTCGTCAGCTGTCTCCAATTAGTCGTTGATATACAATAAAAAGAGAGTTGGTGACAATATTGATCCCTGGGGAACACCAGCGTTGATAATTAAAGTATTCGAGATATATCCATCGATGGGCATTTGTAGGAAACGTTCTTTCAGGAATCTGATTCGACAAGCCATAGCATCGAACTTTGGTCAGCAAATCCTCATGCCACACACGGCCAAAAGTCTTAGAAATATCAACGTCATCAACTCTTTACTCTTCATGTTTTTACGTCTTCTACATAATGATGTTATGATTTTTTGATTCGTTTGATTCGTTGATTCGTTTCAAAATATTTCATTTGACTTTTCTAAACTTGAACTTTCCTCTGGGTCAACCTTTCATCATTTCACTTTCAAATTATCTAAGAACAATTCGTTCAGGCCAGTGTCAACTCCCTACACAGTAGGTTAATGGACTGAAAGAAAACAACTACTCCCCTGGCTAATACCTCGAAAGGCGTTGGATTATATCCGACAGGTGTAAGTGCAGGATTCTTCATAGAAGTTATTCCTGCATATGCTGTTGGCGATACAACTGCTGAAATAGATTTTCAATTATTGGAACACACTTGCAGACCGGTTTCGGACTGTTTGGCCACTCGTCAGTGCAAGGTAGTGTATATCATCAACATAAAGTTATTGTGTATATTTTTGCTCTGATGACTGAATCATAATCTGTTTTTATAGTATCATGATTATCCGCTACTCCGTTTGAGATTTATAATATTGTAATTTTTCATGCAGCATGATTTGTTATGATTTTGAATGAGCATTTATTTGGAGTTTTTAAAAATTATGATTGATGATTATGTTACTATTACGTTACGTTACTATTCTTTATTCATTCTTGGTTCAACTACATTATCAATAATTTTGAAATTTCAGGCACACCCAAAATACACATTCAAGTACGGCGTAAACGACTATCACACAGGAGACATCAAAAGCCAACACGAATCCCGAGATGGCGACGTTGTGAAAGGGCAGTACTCTCTTGTAGAACCAGACGGTTCTATCAGAACTGTGGAATATACTGCGGACAAACACAGCGGTTTCAACGCCGTGGTACACAAAACGGAACCCACCAAACACATCGAAAGTCCTCAACAACAAGAACACCACTTGGAAGATCATCAGCAACAGAAGCAGTACCAACCTGACCATCATCAACTTCTTAGAGGACATCAGCAGATCCTTGGGGATATTGAACAAATCAACGGAGCACATGAAGAACTTCCAAGCGAATACCAACAAGTTCCCGAAGTACATGAACAAGATGGTGACGATGAAGGCCAATATACTCAAAAGCATTATTAGATATTGTCGGCAGAATTTGATACGTAGATGACTGAAGACGAAGTAGTATGCATCGATTTAGACTTAAGTTATTGGACTGAGTATTATTGCTTTTTATGAAAAGTATCAAGGTCCTGATAGCAGTGCGTGAAAGCCTGTATGATTTATTTTGAGTACACTTATGACAGAATAATTTTCAAATATGCACTACTTGTATTCTCTTGCGTGTGCTGAATTCTCAGCTTTGGTTTGAAAAACTTTTGGAACCATTCCAAATTTTGGGTATCGATTTACAACAAAGTCTAAATGTTGATATCGTTAAAAAATAGTAATAATACTAGTGAAGTTATGTTGTAACGATAATTGCGAGTGATTGTTCACAATATCAGAAGTCAGGAAGAGGTGATATTTTGTTTGTTTATAATTATGCACATCCTGGAACTGAATTGTTTAAAAAAAAATGAAAATTTGAGCAGTATTATATTCGCTATCATCGAACTATTATTGTTTAAGAAGTAATATTCAAATTACATTCAATCATTTTTGTTATTTAGATTTGTAATTATTGTTATTTTTCTGGTGTTTTGTTATAAATGAATACATTTTATTGAATTATATTTTGGTTAAACTGAAATAACGTCATATTTTTCATGTCTTTTTAGGGCTGATTTTTAACGCACTTTCTGTAATGGCGAGTTCGCGCGTACTTCCCGCGCGATTTGAGTAACACGGCTTTGTTTTGGCGCTTTTTGATGCTGTGTGCTAGATCTTTGGTAAATATGTTCTCTCTTCCTTTCCGTTGAAGTTTTCTGGGAGTTTATGTATTTATATGGCTTTAAAATACATTATTGTTGAATAATGATCGACGTCGCTAGTCTCTTGATATTTTCGAAAAGGATCTTGTGTTCCCCGTCGGATAAATTATGTTCAGCGACTTCAGACTTCAAGGCTGTCTCAATCGGCAACTCCGCTTGTGCTCGAATAGGCGGTTACTAATGCTCTTTTTCGTCTGACCGATATAAACTTTTTCACACTTACAATAAATTCTGTGGTCATCTAAAGTCACCCAAATCGCGCGACCAAGCAACTGAAGATGACTGTCACAGTTGCAAGTGAAACGTTTGTAGACTGTAAACAAAAAATACTTCGGCAAAACCCGGAAATCAACATTCCTATATCAACAAATGTGTTCAAGAAACTAGTGGGGTATTCATGAAGAGGAGATTAATGAATATGAGAAAGAGAGAATAATCAATCATCAATATTTTGAAGTCATTTATCTTTGTCAATCCTAGAATTCAAAGAACAGATTTCTGTGAAAAAACAACTACTGTCATCAGCATATTGGGCGGCTGAATTATAATCATTTGTAAACGTCTCCCGACGTGTCGGTTTGTCTGTCTTGAAGCGATGAATTCAAAAACTGCTGAACGGATTTCCATAGTTTTCACTGATAGCGTGAATCAAGAAAAATAATAATTTTTGGTTGGAATATGAGGATGTCTTATGACCTCACCATGATCTGAAATGTTCCCCAGCGTGTCAGATTAATACCGAACATTCAACTATCTTGCAAGAATCTGTGGATAATTTTCTTTTCGATTAGGTATGATGATTAAAATATTCAACATCATTTTACAGGTTGTAATTATTTATCGAAGATTCGGTTATCCCATGAAATGAAAACAAATATTTTTTGGTTTGCTATCAAAATTGTTTTACCAATAAAAAGTCATACTCCAACAATATTTTCATTCTGTGTTTGTTTTTGCATCTGTTTACTTCAAATTGGGAAAAGGAAAAATCAAGAGCAGATAGTTGTTGATTCACAGATGGATCAAAAACATCTTCTGGTGCAGATGTTTTTAGTCGCAGACCCAGGACAGAGATATCTACCAGCCTAGGAACTTATGCGACTGTATTTCAAGCGGAATTATGTGAATTATGTGAGGAGAGATTGGATAAATCAAACCTCACACACAAGTGGATGGCAAGAAGATTTATGGACTTCTGGCAGAATCTTCCAGGATTGTTCCACTCCAAGGCGTTTATTCACCCTTCACCAAACACTTGTTGGACTACAGCAGGGATGAACTACGATGTCTAACAGGTCTTCTTACAGGTCACTGTCATGCAGAGACTTGGACTGTCGGAGGACAGTGTGTGTCGCCTCTGTTTGGAAAATTATGAAACAGCAGATCAGCTAAGTTGTTTTTATGATTTTCGTTTACCTAATTCACATATTTTTAAAATCAAATATCTTTGGAGAATAGAGGTATTATTTGTGAAAAGCATCAATTGTCACTTAAATGTTCAATTTTGAGCATAGAAAATACTTCACAAAATAGAGACTCGGGAACTTTGTAATATGCTATTGCCCAATTTGAAAAGAAAACGACACCTTCATATCTTTCCCATAAAACAATGATTCAGTATTTCGTATTGGGTAGAGTTCCAAGACTATCAGCAGCAAATTTGTTCTAAAGTGTTTCATCTCTGCTAATTTCGAGATTAAAAAAATAATTTTGGTTTATCCAGTACATCTCACCAATGCACTTGTGGTGGTCCCTGTATTCATACCAACATACCATCAACTAGTGATGCAACAACAGTAACTTAATTAAATTGTTATTCGTGACTCTCAAATAGCCACAATTTATCCAAGGTTTTTTCTTCAATTCCGGAATAGCGCCTAGCACGATTCTTGAGCAACAGTTGAAAAACCGTTGATCACAAATTAAATACTGAAAATATCAGTCAGGGTCAGAGGTGGCTTGAGATCATTGCAAATGATTGCCATCACAAGTCGTTGTAATGACAAGAAATGTATTCTTTACATCACCTGATTGTATCCGAAATAAGCTTCGGTGAAGAAGATTACTGGATGGTGATTGAAACAGTGCTGCTCTGATTGCTTTGTTTTTTGGGTTCTGGGTTCATCTGGTTGCTTTGCAGTAGAAGCATCAGCGAAAGACGTAGAACGAAACTTGTTGGGTGATTAATATCTAAGCTTGGCTCCGCAAGAGTTTTTTGAAGCCTCGTTTATTGTTAAAATTCATGGGTTGGATTTTTTTTGATCAACATAGATAGTGTTAATGTAATTAGTCTTGAACTGATATGAATCAACAGACATGAATGATAGACATTGGTGCAACCCTCGTGAAAGGAGATATGTATGCGAAGAAAAATGATGGAATGTCTGATTCAATTTGTTGGGTTAATACAAAAAAAATAAGTTAGAATTAGAACCTCTGACGCAAATAAATAAATCTTAGTGAACTTAGTCAACTTCGTTTAAGGAGGACGTGTAGCACATGTGATGTTTTATGCCAATGATGTCTAGTGTAGGTATTCTAATATCTTATTAAAATGGCTTGAAATTATCGAGACGGGTACAGGAAATAGCATTTGAGCTTCTGGAAGCTTTCAAAAGTCGAAAATAGCAATGTACAGTATCACAATTATAAACAGCAGCAGAGCTTTCACGGCAAGAAACCAGTATCCAAAATATTAAGTATTCGTCTGAGTAAGTAGATACGATGGTATTTGCCTATAGAGGCCATCTATAGGATAGAGCATATTGTGAACACATATTGGGAACACACAATGAATGACTCTCCTACAGGGAGTGTCTGAAAAAGATTCGGAATTTTTTAACAAAGCAGGAAATGCCACAGAATAATTACAGAACTACTCACTGGACCCCACAACAAACTAGGGCTGTCTGACGAAGACCTTGACTGCAAGAAATTCAGATAATCTATCAAATCAATTCTAGAAGAATGTGACAAACGTCCATCGATGAGGAACTCTACTTGTTTGTATAGGTTGTTGTTGATGTTGTATGTACAATATTGTTGAAATAGAGTCCTGAAATGATGGAAGGAAAAACGCGGCCAGCAAAACATGGAACAAGTATTCTCCAGTCAAGTATTCACTAGAGACAGTGTCAACAGGTTGACGGAAAATATTTGTACTTATTTTCCAACAGATAGATATAAATAAACTGAAGGTACGTACACGGTGGATCCGGAATGGATGTGTACAGCCCATACAAGTTCAGATATTCCCAAAGTTAGGGCTATGAGCTCAGTCGCTAATTGTCGATCACCTCTTATTAAATTCAACCAATACCGTCAAAATATGCAGACTGTGACGATCAGGAGGAGACTGGTTTCTCAGCGGTATTTTGCTGAACACCTCCCCAATAAATTGAACTGCATCCATTCATTTTGTCTCCCAGAAAAAAATAATCGCTCACAAAAAAACACAATCTTTTATAACTGCCTACGTTGTATGCTTCGCGAGTGTTGTTGTATATGCGTTGATAAAATGCCTATGTTTCACCCCCACTTCATTGAACCAGACAATGATTTTCCGATCTTTCTAACGTCTGCATGGAACATCTCTCTCTCTCTCTCTCTCTCTCTGCCTTTAGATGGCCGTTGTTTCCCACTCGGGCGCATTTGACCAATTTCCTCCTGTCAAGTGTTGACAGGAGTCAAGGTAATATCAATTATGGTTACCTGTCGTATTCAAATCATTTGAAAAGCTACTGTACTAGCGAAACATGCGATATAATTTTCTAATAAAATTTGTGGATATCAAATCGTGAGGTGTAGTTTTTGAAATTACTATGGATCTTCATCGAGTAACGGCTGAATCAATCAGAAAAAAATACTTCGAAAACAACTAGTGTCATATGAACATTGAGTATGGAAAAATCACGTTTTTTTATCCAGTGTGTACTATATGCAAAAAAAATTGATAGAACAGAATTCACTGTTATATAATCATCATAACTCCATTTGTCTCTACAATTTTGTGATTTCCTGAAAGAGATTACTTACGTCGTTTTTCTTAGCTATTATCGAGTTCATTCATAACAGGATAGGATAAAATTATATAACTGATCTACTTAGACGATAAGCGTGCTGACTTCGTGAACTTCGACATTATACCCACCCGTAGGTCATAGGTACCAACACCCATATTTCCACATAGAAACTGAACTATAATTTCGAAATAATACATGGCTTATTCACGTCCCATGTTTGGAAAGTCTCCCAGTCTTTTACAACGATCTAAACGGCAGTAATTGGATTGGATCAGTGAATGATATTCCGCAAATTCTTTTAAAGATTATTCACCAAAATGAAAAGCTTATACTATGGCCAACAAATGCCTGTCAGGTCCAATTCTTGCCTCCGTTTGCGAAAAATATGAAAGGCGTCATTTGATTCGCAACAGCCTTTGGTGATCATTTTTGAAGAAAAATTAAGACCGCTTGCAAAAATTGCAACAAAGTTTTGTTTTTCGCAATTCAGAAAGAGGGAACAATAATGAATGAATGAAAATATTTCCTAAAACGGTTACTCCGGCTTGCGCAATACACGCCAATTTTTGACCTTTGATGAAAAAATATTATTTCAACTTATCGAAAATCAAAATTGAGAATTGACAAAATCGAAGCAGGTACTGCATAAATGAATGAACAATTTGAGGTCGAACAATTTTTATCATAATTGCATTAGTTAATTAACATTTTTTTCTAGTTTAACAGGAACATTGCAAGTGCGATAATTGTTTATTTTATAACTTCTGCAATTTTCACAAGCGACACTTGA